TAAAAGACAAGCAGGGCTTCTGCTAAACAAATTGGTTTGTTCAATGGGGGTTATTTTTATATGTTATCCATGTTTAACTGTTTAACATGCTGCTTTTATTATTATAAGTTCCAGAATACTATTTGATAGCAAGAGGGGAAAGGGTATGAATTAATTAGACAAAGCAGCAACTGAAGCTGTTGCCAGCCTTAAGGCTTTAACCCTCTTTTTTGATCCCAATCCTCATACTTTACCTTTTCTCCCCATCCTTGCAATTAGGACAGGTGCAAGCCATCCGCCGTCTCTTTTCCCCAGGCTGCAGGTCCCCCAAGAGTGCTTGCTCCATTTGTAATTGGATTTTGGTAGGGCTCAGGCCACTGATGGTTAGATTGTTGCCTGAAACATTCTGCACTGTTAACTGCTGTTGGCCTGCAGAAAAATGAATGCGGAAGATATGGCTTGGGAATTTCCACTCTTAAAATATGGAGACTCAATTATTTCAGTAAAACTCCATGCAAACTCAGGCTGAAATATCATGTGAGTTCCATTTTCTCCCCTTGCCTTTTTGGATGTCAGAATTGCAGGAGGCTTGAAATAACACCCAAGTTCAAGGTTCCAAAATGTCATTCCTGCTTGGGTCCAGTCCAGATACCCAATCTCTCCTCTCATCTTACTAACATTTATATTGCCCCTATTGTTTCAAGCCCTCATTGCTCCTGTTTACAATATTACTACCTAACTCCAATGCATATTTTCACATTTTGCTATATTATGAAAACTAGGGCTTTCATACCTTTTTCAGCCTCATGAAGATAGGAAGCATGGAATCCTTTACTGCCATCTCCCCCACGACCAACAATACAGAACAGAAAGAATGCAATGCTTATAGCTACAAATTCTAATTCAAGTCAGCCTCTGAAAGCCAGGAAGCCATGTACCAAGCTATGAAATATGCCACTATATTTAGTCATGCCCACCTATTACTAGAACAAAACAAGAATAAAATGACCCTTGGGGAGTGCAAAAATTAAAATGAAAATGCTTTTTTCCTTAGGTGTGTCCGTTCTCCAAGACATGGCTCTTTCCTCAAGCACCTTAGCACTAGGCTAAGATGGAAGTTGAACTGGGAGGTTGTTTGGTCTCTAGCACCTGTAGGGGAAGGGTACTTGTTTTATCTGTATTTTTTTTTATTCTTAGAATTATGAGATACATGACCACATAATTCCTGTAAATACATACATAACCCTACTTACATTTTTCTGTGCTGATAACATTCCAAGCATTTTTAAAAACCAAGATACTGTATCACAAATTGAAATATTGCACATCATAGGAACATTGCATCATATATCCCACCTCCAGTATTGGTGACGGTAACAGGAACACCTTGAACTTGCACTCCATTGATGCTGATTGTTTGCATTGCCTGAGCAGCAGCAGCAAGTTGTGCTGCACTGAGGCTGATGCCTCCAGCAGGGGCAATCTTTGGCAGAGCACGCTCTTTACAAGCCCATGTCTTTTTGGTACTTCCTCCTGACTGGGAACTGCGGGGTACAGAGCTGCTGCAGGTTGTGGCTGAGGCAACTGCAAGGGAAGGGGCCACAGTTACGCCTGGGGCTTCATGGAGTAGTACTGTCTGTAGCTCACCAGAAGGCGTCTTGAAATAGACCTCAAAAAAAAACACACAAAAATGAATCACAGGATGCAATTTAGTGTGGAAGCAATGTAGAACTTAACCTCCAAGTAGTCCCCCCCCTCAAGTTTTCATAGATTATAAATCACAGAATCAGAATAGATGTATGCTGAATTGTTTATACCTCATAAATGCTTTTATAGGAAACTGGTGCTTAAATAACATATGAAAACAATCAAATATTTTTTTCTATTAGAAGAACTGGAGCTTTTTCCTAGCCTCTTTGCACCCAAAAATTCTAATCATTATGTATTTCTTGGTCACTCCAAACTCAGGCTCTTTTGTCAATGATAGTTTGAATTGATAAAAATATTTGTAAAACAAAAGCAAAAAAAGTTGGAGGACTTTCAATGAAATACCTGAGTGGGAATTGACTCCATTGCCTGGATCTGGAAGTTTTGTTGGGACATTTGGGGAACTGTAGGGAGTGTGGCTGAGGCTGCCTGGACCACCCGTAGGGCTTGCTGGGGTATCCGAACTGCCTGTTCTTGTTTGGGCTGAAGTACTTCCACCTGTTGGACCACAGCTGGCTGCCCAGAGCCAGGACTCTGTACAATCAACAGATTGTTCCCTGCCTGGATGATGTTGTCAGCTGTAGTCTCTATTAAGACTGTCTCAACATGCTCTGTCACAGCCATTGCAGTTGTTTGAGCTTGTGGTACCATTTTCTTTCGAGCTTTTCTGCTTGGCTTAGAGGGGCTGTCAGGTACAATTTGAGTCTGAGTACTAGTTTCCCCAGCAGTTACAAGATTGCTCACTGGAAGAGTAAGTGTAACATTGCCACTGGTGCCAGTTAACTTGACAACACTGCTTGTGTTGTGGAGAGCAGCTGCTGATGACTTATGAGTTGGAGCTGGCTTTATTGGCACAGGCCTATGAGCTGATGAAGAGGAAGAAGGGGTGATATTGCTGGGAATCTGTATTTGATTGCCCAAATTTTGCTGCACCTGAATCATCTGTCCTGATGCTGTTTGGTTCTCTGGTACCACCCGATACTGGATATTGGCAAGGGAGCGGGCTCCTTTGCTGCTTACAGCTGGGTTCTGGATTGTAAATACCAGCTGTCCACCAGGATATGAGGTGCCCAGTTGAGAACCTTGAATTTGGAAGAGGTTTCCTTTTGATAAGATTCCAATGTTGTTCTTGTTAGAACCTAGTGGGAGTGGAGCAGGCTTAATAGGAACCAATTTCCGAGGGGCAGGTTGAGGAGGAATAGAAGAAATAATAGCTGTTTCTACAGCTGGAGGGCCAATCTTACTACATGTGGCTGCAAGCAGGGCTAGTGGAGATGGCTGAGTATCCTACAGAAATGGAAGAGAAAAAAGCTTGTGTCAAAGGCAGTGGAGACAAGTAGTATGTTCCAGAGATAATATAACACAGTTGTAGAATTAGAAAATCCCACATTTTTATAACAGAGTTTGAGCCTTGTATTAAGTTAGTACAACATCAGATTCTCAAATCAGCAATATCAATAGAGTTGGATCCAGACTTAATGAGGAGTGCTTCAGGCTCATGAAGTGCAAAGAACAAAAACCTGACTAATTTAGGATTTATTCCAATGAATTTGAGTTCAGCAAACATTCCAGCTAACTTGCATTCAAAATATAATTATGAATGTACATAATAGTTTGAGAGACCCAAAGTGTTCTGTATATAACAACCATACATGGTAGAAACAAAGCATCTTCTAATACCTTAAAAACTAACGTTATTTATTCTTATTTATCTTATTCATTCCACACTGAAAACATTTTACCATTTTTGTCAAGCAACACCCCAAACTGAATATCACAATAAACATTTTGCAAACAGAAATTAGTACTCTGTTAGAATCATATGCAGTAAGAACTTATTGTTGGTATCATACACAATGAGGATGATTCATTGACTTTGAATGGAGCTCAGGTGCCAAGGGAGTTCAAAATTATTTAGAAGAGAGCTCCCACCCCAGGAACAAATGATCTGAACCTTTTTATCAAAAAGAAAAAAACCCATTCATTTACATGAAATATCAAGTGGAAGTAAATAAGGAACATTCAAACTTCTAACATTGTCTACCTCCTTTGTTGCAAGGGTAGAGGATCTCTTTTTTCCTTATGAATAGATGAGGCAGCCCTTTCATAACTTGAGTAGAACCTTTTTTTATTTAGACCTGGCCTTTTGCATACTGCTGTAAACTAAAAAGATACTCCTTTGGTCTTTTTAGCTGCCAGAAAAAGGGAGTGGGGGAAAATTCCTTAAGTGCCTAGATAATCACCCTGGCAGCCAAAAGTTGTAGGAGTGCAAGGCTATTACTGGAGAGCATGACTGATGACTATTGGGGATGGATGTGTCCCATTGGAGAATACATCCAGGGGGTGGGGGGAAAGACCAGGGTCAAGGGGGAAATGACGTATTTTAGTATCGGCTGCATCCAGCTAACACCAACATGGCCACTTCTAATAAATCAATTTTATTTTCTCTGAGATGCGGTTAGAGACTTATGATTTGAATGGGGGTGGATTTGTTGGAGTCCTGACAACTGCTCTATTTTATCCTTACACTCTGACCTCTCATATTACTCTGCAACTTTCATTCCATTCTGCCAGAAAGAAAGAGTTACAGCCAAATGGATATAAGGAAGTAGAATTATGTCACAAAAATATTGCAGAAATTGGTCAAGTTTCACACTGGGAATATGTAAAAGGATGCTTAGTGGAAATATGAAGGGAATAGTCTGTAGATGACAAAACATGTTAGGGAAAGCAAACTGATCATGGCTTAACTTCTTTTTTTTTACAAATCCTTTACCAGCAGAAGGCATCTGTTTTCTTTTATGTAATGAACCAATGTGTTCTATTTGTGTGCTTTTCTGCTTTTCTTTGCATCTATGTGCACTCAGAAACATAGGGCAGGGTGTACTTGCTCTAGACCAATAAATAAAATCAGCAAATATATTTGTAGGCTAGTAGGATTCTTCTCTACAGTAAACACCTTCACCAGAAAGCTTTCAACAGTGCAAGATTCCAGACCAAACACTCACATTTTTATGCAGTAATACCATCAACAGAAATGACCCACCTGAGCTGCTGAAGCAGCAGGTTGCACGTATTCCCTGGGGCTAACTGCAGCAGTGGCAGACATACTGTCTCCAAATCTGCAAAAAGAAAAGAATTGTGATTAATTTGAATTTTTCAATATTGATAGCAATATTTTCAATGTGTACAAGAGATATTGGTACTGAATTTGTCATAATACATCAGTCTCAGTTAAAATTAGTCACAGCATAAAGCTGGAGAATTAAATCCACAATTGAAGTATTTATTTAAATGAACTGTAATCCATCTTATGCAATGTTTTGCCAGTGAAGCTGACAGATATGAAAACCATTAATAAACAGAAAGTTGGACTGCATTCAGTACGGGTTAGAAAAGTAGTGTAAAAACTATTACATTAGAAAAAATTGTAATATGTTTGAGAGAATTTGACAGTTATATCAATACTTAGTAGGGCTATTTTTGGGTGATGTTTATCACATTTGGGAAGAAAAAAATAAGCTCTGACCTTCTGCTACTCTCACCATAATAGAAACAATCAGACACATAACTGCAAGGTTAAAAGCCGGATGAAATTTAAGCAAAAGATTTTACAAATGGTGTGCATCAAAATAAAACTATATGCATTGTTTCTGGTGCTTACACATTTGTAGTATGTAATAAACTAAAAAGATGGCAATACTCACTACTGGCTTGACACATTCTACAAATATCCATTCTAAATAGCTAAGTAGCAATTATTTTCTAATTATGAAAACTTATTTATTTGCTGCCCATCTCACCACAAGCCAACTCTTATTCATCAAGTTCTGTATATGGGGAGTGTTCAAAAAGCAAACCTCTAGTTTTTACAACTGTGGAGATAAACTTGCAAAGGTAGGGGAGATGACTGACAAATTGCAGCCTCAATATGGATCCCAACTAGACTATAAAAATGATATATATCAGTAATACTCTCTAAATGTATAAGAGAAGCATGGATACTCCAAAATTACAATTAGCTCCTTTCATAGGCACAGGCATCTTAGATGACATGTTATCTGTAATGTTTGAGCCAATAGATCTACCATCAACTCAGCTTTGTTTTCTTCTTTCCCTTCCTCAATATTCTGAAACCCCAGGAAGTGTTCAGCCTTTTCCATTTGTAACTGGATTATACACTGCTCAAAAAAATAAAGGGAACACTTAAACAACACAATGTAACTCCAAGTCAATCACACTTCTGTGAAATTAAACTGTCCACTTAGGTAGCAACACTGATTGACAATCAATTTCACATGCTGTTGTGCAAATGGAATAGACAACAGGTGGAAAGCATAGGCAGTTAGCAAGACATCCCCAATAAAGGAGTGGTTCTGCAGGTGGTGACCACAGACCACTTATCAGTTCCTATAATTTCTGGCTGATGGTTTGGTCACTTTTGAATGCTGGCGGTGCTTTCACTCTAGTGGTAGCATGAGACAGAGTCTACAACCCACACAAGTGGCTCAGGTAGTGCAGCTCATCCAGGATGGCACATCAATGCGAGCTGTGGCAAGAAGGTTTGCCGTGTCTGTCAGTGTAGTGTCCAGAGCATGGAGGCGCTACCAGGAGACAGGCCAGTATATCGGGAGACGTGGAGGAGGACGTAGGAGGGCAACAACCCAGCATCAGGACCGCTACCTCTGACTTTGTGCAAGGAGGGACAGGAGGAGCACTGCCAGAGCCCTGCAAAATGACCTCCAGCGGGCCACAAATGTGCATGTGGCTGCTCAAACGGTCAGAAACAGACTCCATGAGGGTGGTATGAGGGCCCGACGTCCACAGGTGGGGGTTGTGCTTACAGCCCAACACCGTGCAGGATGTTTGGCATTTGCCAGAGAACACCAAGATTGGCAAATTCGCCACTGGCGCCCTGTGTTCTTCACAGATGAAAGCAGGTTCAGACTGAGCACATGTGACAGACTTGACAGGGTCTGGAGACGCCGTGGAGAATATTCTGCTGCCTGCAACATCCTCCAGCATGACCGGTTTGGCAGTGGGTCAGTAATGGTGTGGGTGGCATTTCTTTAGGGGGCCGCACAGCCCTCCATGTACTTGCCAGAGGTAGCCTGACTGCCATTAGGTACCAAGATGAGATCCTCAGACCGCTTGTGAGACCATATGCTGGTGCGGTTGGCCCTGGGTTCCTCCTAATGCAAGACAATGCTAGACCTCATGTGGCTAGAGTGTGTCAGCAGTTCCTGCAAGACAAAGGCATTAATGCTATGGACTGTTCCCCAGACCTGAATCCAATTGAGCACATCTGGGACATCATGTCTCGCTCCATCCACCAACGCCACGTTGCACCAGACTGTCCAGGAGTTGGGAGATGCTTTAGTCCAGGTGTGGGAGGAGATCCCTCAGGAGACCATCCGCCACCTCATCAGGAGCATGCCCAGGCATTGTAGGGAGGTCATACAGGCACGTGGAGGACACACACACTACTAAGCCTCATTTTGACTTGTTTTAAGGACATTACATCAAAGTTGGATCAGCCTGTAGTGTTTTTTTTCCACTTTAATTTTGAGTGTAACTCCAAATCCAGACCTCCGTGGGTTGGTAAATTTGATTTCCATTGATAATTTTTGTGTGATTTTGTTGTCAGCACATTCAACTATGTAATGAACAAAGTATTTAATAAGAATATTTCATTCATTCAGATCTAGGATGTTTTATTTTTGTGTTCCCTTTATTTTTTTGAGCAGTGTAGTTCCTTCAAGTTCTTTATTGGCCTGTGTTAGTCTCTAATTTATTTCCTCTGTTTTTTTACTTGTTCTGACTTTTCTGTAATTATTTTAATCTTTTCCTCATTTTTAGTTGTTCGTTGAAAAGTCTCCAGTTTTTCATCCATATTTTGCATTTTTCCCTTGATCTCTCCCACCTCAGTCCTCATCTCACCTATCTCGGTCTTTCATTATGGTACTTGGTTATGGCCTCTTGTAGCGATTGGAACAGTGCTTGCATATATTTTTGAATTATATTCATTTTTTCCTGTTGGATTAAGCTTTCTATTTACCTTTGGCTTGCAGGGCTTGACGTTGCTGATGATGGGGTGGATGATGGGGCAGATGATGGTGCCGATCCAGTTTTCCCCCCTAATTTAGATAGGTTTGAATTTGACAATTTGAACTTTATCAATGTATCAGCAGCTTTAGATAAGGTGCCCCACCACCCTTCAAATTTCTCCCAAATTCTCCACTCCTTCTTCATGCCCTTTTTAATAATAACCAGTAATGCTCTTTCTCCCACATTTTCCCCTCCCTTTCAATCCTCAACTAATTTCACTATCTTTTAACTTTAATTTTAAGTCTAAATTACACACAGATTGTATCTAAAATGTCCAAGTAGTCTCTTCAATATCCTTCTTAATTCACTTATTCTTCTTATAGGAAATATTTGTAACCCACAAAAAACCCAATAGTTGCACATCACCTCTATTCAGCAGTTCAAATTTTTTTTCACTTAGCTTCAAGTTAAATCCAAATTTCACATTGTCTAACGTATTTGTAATCCACAAAGAGTCAAATGCTCTCAAGGACAGGTTTCTATGTCTTCCCCATCTGTTTTTAAGTATCCAGTGTAAGCAGTTTGCAAGTGTTAATTCCACAGGACAGCACCCAATTAAGTTTATCAGCTCAGTTCAGTTCCAAGGAACCCAAGCCTTTTGTATTGCATCAGACTGTTCAATTGTTCAAGGTCTTCTCCCTTTGCTTGACAGGTTCCACCAGTGGGTGGCATCCTTACTCTATTTCTCCACTTTCACCCGAATCCACTTCAAATGTTCACTTCTGCAAAGTTCATTTTCTAGGATTACAATGTATACTATGTATCAAAAAGTATCTTAAGTATCCATAAAGCTGGAAAAATATCCACAAGCAAGCCACCTGGAACTCCAACCCATTAATGGTCTATTTTTACCAAGCGCTTTCTTCTCCTTCGCTCAGGTCTGTCAGCAGCTCATGTATTTAGTCGCCGCCGTTCTAGAGGGGTGAATAAAGACCACCTACTCTCTTTTAGAGTCTCAATTTCAGAAAGAAGTTAATTTCTGGGGTAAATTCCTCAACAGGAGTTGGAAATTAAGAATAGCTCACCCAGATTACACATGCTGTTTTCCTCTCATCTCCTTTATTGCTCTTTCATTGGAGCTGTCACAGCTTCGGTCCAGCCAGCTTAATGGCCGTCTTTTCCAGTAACCAAGCATTTCTAATGTCATTTGTAAAACTTAAAAAAAATATTTATATTGTATGCTAAAGTCCCTCCTTTTTTAACTGGAGGAATCAGTTTCCATCATGACTTTCCAAGATCCCCAAGTCCTGAAGAGCAGTATTATTGACTGTTGAACTCATCTTCCTTAAAAACAAATAGGTATAAACACAAGCTATACTGTAGGCTCAGTAAAATATTCACCATTTTATTGTAAGATTTGGATATAGTCACACCATGTGTGTGTGTGTGTGTGTGTAGGTAAGCAACCAGCGTATAATCACATGACTTCAGTAACTTTTTGCCACATTATTTAAAATACACTAGAGTAGCAGTCACGGACCACCAGTAAAAGATTTTGGTGGTCCCCAGTGCACCCGCGTGGAGGAGCTGCTCTGGGATGACCAATGGGCCAGTCCTGTGACTAGAGCTCTGGAATATGGGACTGGCCAGGCAGCTCATGGTGGGGCTGGAAATCTCCACCGTAGAGGGAGGTACGTGCAATGTGCAACTTTGCAGGTGGTGCAACGTGCAAGGAGTAGTGCAGCCCTCTCCAGCCGGAATGAAGTAATGGTGCTGTTGCAGCAATTGGGGGCGGCACAGGCTGGCCGAAGCAATGGGTTTCAGCAACCTGTGGTTCTTCCGTCCCCCTGCTGTGGCTCCGTGGGCTGAACCCACCAGTGGCTGGCCCCACCCCTCCCCTCATAGTCAATTCTCGCCTGGCCTGAGAAGGCAAGGACGGGGGATGGAGACTCGCTCCATATTCCAAAACAGGAGCGAAATGCCCCTGTACTTGCCTCATCTCTTGCTGCGTCTTGCAGGCACTTCTGGCCCTTTTTGGTGCCACGCGCACCTGAGTCGCTCAGGGAGATGCACGACTTCCTCTCTGCTCCGAGACACTGGTCCGACCGTTTCTCTCCACCACTGCTGTTGGCACCTCCATGGCCTGCTTGCTGCTCTTGCAGCACCTTGCACAGCACAATTAATTTAGCGCACTTCACAATGGGACAGAAGGCATCCCCTCCTCCTGGAGCCCATTACAATGCGGAGCATCGGCCGCAGCTGGGTCAGGCGAGTATCTAACAGATCTAACAGATAATCAGAGTTGGGAGGGACCTTATAGGTCATCTAGTCCAACCCCCCGCCCAAGCAGGAGACCCTACACCATTTCTGACAAATGGCAGTCCAGTCTTTTCTTAAAGGTCTCAAGTGATGACGCTCCCACAACTTCCAAGGGCAAGCTGTTCCATTGGTTGATTGTTCTCACTGTCAGAAAGTTTCTCCTTATTTCCAGGCTAAATCTCTCCTTGTTCAGTTTCTTTCCATTATTCCTTGTCTGGCCTTCAGGTGCTTTGGAAAATAGCTTGACCCCTTCCTCTCTGTGACAGCCCCTCAAATATTGGAAGACTGCTATCATGTCTCCCCTAGTCCTTCTCTTCACTAGACTAGCCAAGACCAGTTCCTGTAACCGTTCTTCATATGTTTTAGTCTCCAGTCCCCTAATCATCCTGGTTGCTCCTCTCTGCACTTTTTCTAGAGTCTCAACATCCTTTTTATAATGTGGTAACCAAAACTGGATGCAGTACTGTAGGTGTGGTCTTACTAAGGCTTTATAGAGTGGTATTAGTACCTCACTTGATCTCGATTGTATCCCTCTGTTAATGCAACTGAGGATTGCATTAGCTTTTTTGGCTGCTGCTGCACACTGCTGGCTCATATTTAGCTGGTTGTCCACTAAGACTCCAAGATCCCTCTCGCAGTTACTGCTATTGAGACTCGTTTCACCTAGTCTATATGTGTACTTTTGGTTTTTCTTGGGGCAGAGAGCAGGTCATGCATCTCGCCGAACAACCGAGGTGTGTCCAGCACCAACAAAGGCCGAAGAAGCGCCCATGAGACCCAGAGAGCACTGGAGAATCAGAATGAGAGATGAGAAAGAGACAGACAGACAAAGATGGGGAGACGAGGGGAGGAAAAGAGAGAAAGAGGCTTCAGCAAGTGGCGCACTGGATTTATATTAGTGGTCCGTGAGATTTAAAATTATGAATTTCGTGGTCCCTGAGGTCTGAAAGGTTGGTGACCCCTGCACTAGAGTATATAGCAGTGGTGGCTAACCTTTTTGGGCTCCTGTGCTGATAATTGCTCTCACATGCCAGCACCCAGAAGGCAATGCGCACAGGTCCCCCCACGCCCCCTGTGCATGACCCCCCCGTGCCACAGCTCTGTGCATGCATGAGCGATCCCGTGTGTGGCGCGTGTCACTGTGCATGCACGCAAATCTCCCACACACCCCGCACATGCGCACCAGATACCCGACAATCAGCTGGCGGGCGGGCAGCATGTGCGCATGTGCAGTAGACCTGCTCTGGGCGAGGGCTCGCATGCCGACAGTAATGGCTCTGCGTGCCACTTCCAGCACGCATGCCATAGGTTCGCCATCATGGGAATATAGTATGCATTTTGAGTGGGTTAGGGTATCACCATGACCTTCCGGAGGATCCATTCTTTTTCATTACATTTAACTTTCTATCAGCCCCACTCCGCTCACCATCTCTAGTAAGTCTTTTTCTGCTGATCACCAAAGAGTACATAAAACCTTCTGGCTCAGTAGACCAAGTATTTAGCTCAAGGGTCTTCAAACTTGGCAAGTTTAAGACTTGTGGACTTCAACTCCCAGAATTCCTGAGCTAACATGACTGGAAGAGGAATTCTGGGAGTTGAAGTTCACAAGTCTTAAAGCTGTCAAGTTTGAAGGCCCTTGATTTAGCCCCATAATCTGTGTTACACCTTCAATGGAAAGTGTCTCCTCCTAGTTGTTCTGAACGTATCATCTTTACGACTTCGTGGACAATTTCTCCCACAACCCCATTGACTGAGTTTGCAGAAAACACTGATGTAAACTATGGTTGGCTAATTTGTGGTTCAATATGTTGTGAGACACATCACTGTATAATAAAGTTATAGCAGAGTAATATCTGAAACAGAATTTATATACACATATTTTACATACCTGAAGCATGCATACACTAGCAAATGTAACTAGTTTAGGCTTCAATGTACTTGCAAACTAAGGCAAATGGGTTAATTCAAAAAATCATTGTGCAAATGAAGTATGGCTACTGCAGCCAGAAACTAAAACACAGCAAGGGATTGTGTTATCATCACTCCCCTGAACTGCTCACCAATTATATTTTATTTGCATTACATCTGAACACAGAACTAACACTTGAGAAAACTTACCTGTTACTTAAGTCCAATAGATTGAAATGCTGAGCCTGACTTGATAGTCTTGTGAATTAAATTCCTCTTCCATCACTTACAGTATACTCAACTACTACATCTATATCCTGTACCTTTTCTCGGAACATCTACCCCATGATTAGAGAGGCAGCAGCATCTCAGTCCATTTTTTTTAGAATGCCATACCTATTTTCTGTTCCATTTCCAAGCACCCACCATTCTAATTCTGAATGGTTCCTAGGTGGTCCCCAATGCCCTAAAACTGTGATGGTGAACCTATGGCACGTGTGCTGCAAGTGGCACACGAGCCCTCACCCAGAGCAGGTCTACTGCACATGCGTGCGCGCCGCCCACCCGCCAGCTGATTGTCAGGTATCTGGCACGCATGCGTGGGCGTGTGGGGATGCGCAGATGCGTGCGCATGCAGAGGCACGTTGGGGGGTCACACATGCAGACGTGTGACGCAGGGGGGTCACTTGCCCTGGGGGCAGGGGGGGGGAGCTGCATACATTGCCTTCTGGGTGCTGGCACGTGAGCGCGAGTGCACTCACAATTATCGGCACAGGAGCCCAAAAAGGTTAGCCACCACTGCCCTATAACCACTTTTCACTGTCATCTGCTTTAGGTGACTATTTCAACTATTTTTATGCACACATTCTCTACTGTAATTGACAGGACTGTCCCTGCCCATACTCCAGTTCTTTCAATTCTTCATTCTTATGCCAATTTCGTAATCCACAGACGTTGATATATCCTTGTACCGTTCAAAATAGCATACGGGCGGGCGGGGGGGATCGACATGTATTTGAGGCAATAGTATAACACAAAGGTCCACTTGCTTGCTTTCAGGTTACTGTTAAAAGTATACCGCCATTAAAAAGAAAACAAGCAACAACGCCAAACTATCAACCTATCCCCGTCACCTTCCCGCGTTCCGCTCTCCGAACACAAAAATGAATGGATATTCTCATTCCCTTCTGTTACCCATGCCCGTTTTTCTTATGGGTTCCCAAGGAGGCGGGCTCTCACCATAGCCCCGCCTTCTTCTGGTCCCAGTTGTTTCAGCCCCGTTCGTAAGCTCGGGGTCCGCTCCAACGAAGCCCCCCCTCTTTACAGACCCCACCTCTTCCTCTATTTATCAGCCCACTCCCATCTCTTGGTTTCTCCTCCCATTTCTCCCCGAGCCCAAACCCGCCCCACCGAAACTTACTCGCCTGCAAGAATGGAGTCGGTAGCGATCCGCACCCCTCTCACGGTGCCATCTTCCTCCTCCTCCAGCCGACCAAGCACCGCCCTGTAATCACCACCATGCAAAAGAGATGCAACCAATCACCGTTCAAGGAGTATATACCTTTTGACCAATCAAAATGCACGTTGTTCGCTCAGATTACCCCCCCCCCTTACAAATCTTTCTCGTCTGCTGAAGTGTCCCGTTTAAGCCAATGGAAATGAGCGGATTTGACAATGACGGACGTCAACGGAAAGCCCAATCGCTTGCACGGAATCACAAATTGACTAAAGTCTTACCAATTCAAGTTCAGGGTAGGGTAATGCCTATTGATAGAAAAGGACTTTTGAGAAGACGACGAAAAACAGAAATGCAGAGCTTAATAAAAAAAAAAAAGGTGGGATTTCTTTGCAGAAAAGTTTCATTGGCCAAGTACCAAAGAATTACCTGAAAAGCCAATAGAAAACACGCGCACACTATATGATGCCCCCCACTAGTTGGTGATATGTTGGTTGGAGTACCTTACCTGTGCTGGAACTCCCGGAAGACCTGTGGGAGGCAACAACGGGACACATTTTTTTCTTTTGCTGTCTTCTAGTGGATTTGCAAATTTATAGGGTAACCTTAGTTCTAGGACGCGGGATGCGACTCATCGGCAGCTGCGCCGTTTAAGGGCTCTAAAATGTAGTAAAGGTGCCCATTAAAATAAATCCATATTAATGCAAAATATAATACAACTAAAGCAGTAGCACTGCAAGGACTGAGAAAATAGATTTGAGGCCCAGGCTAAGGAGAAGCTTTGCCTCAATTCCATAGAAAATTATGCCATAATATGAGTCCCATAACGGAGAAAGCAGTATTGAATGCCAACTGCCTTAGTAGTGAGACTCATTAAAAAAGCCTCATTGATGAGATAAGATGTAAAGACTATACACAAATAGGTCTTCCTATAAACATACAGGTGAAACTCAAAAAATTAGAATATGGTGCAAAAGTTCATTTATTTCAGTAATGCAACTTAAAAGGTGAACCCAATGTATGAGATAGACTCATTACATGCAAAGCAAGATAGTTCAAGCCGTGATGTGTCATAATTGCGATGATTATGGCGTACAGCTCATGAAAACCCCAAATCCACAATTTCAGAAAATTAGAATATTACATGCAATCAATAAAACAAGGATTGTACATAGAACAATATCGGACCTCTGAAAAGTATAAGCATGCATATGTACTCAGTACTTGGTTTGGGCCCCTTTTGCAGTAATTATTGCCTCAATGCGGCGTGGCATGGAAGCTATCAGCCTGTGGCACTGCTGAGGTGTTATGGAAGACCAGGATGCTTCAAGAACGGCCTTCAGCTCTTCTGCATTGTTCGGTCTCATGTCTCTAATCTTTCTCTTGGCAATGCCCCATAGATTCTCTATGGGGTTCAGGTCAGGCGAGTTTGCTGGCCAATCAAGCACAGTAATCCCACGGTCATTGAACCAGGTGGCTTTAAAAAAAAAAAAATTGGTTTTTAAGACAAACATAGACAAACAAAACATAAAAACATCAAGCTATCTTCCATATATATACATACAGTGTACCGGTGGGTTTACAAATTGTTTTGTGCTTCCATTTCATAGTCTTCAATTACAATTACATTGTATATATTCTCATATTTTCAATCAAGTATTAAATTCATTAATATTGTTAATCAACCATTTGACTATACTTTTATTCATTCCTGTTTTACAAAATAATCATATTTTACTTAATTTGTTTTATGACAGTTCATATTATCATCTCAAATCTATCCTACAAGCATTTTGTAGATATAATAAGAACAGAATACATCTTTATATATTATTTTCTAAGAGTCTACATATTTCATTACTGTATTTTATTGTCTAACCATTGATAGAATAGATCCCAAATTTTATAAAATTGTTTATCATCTTGTTCTCTGATTTCAAATGTCAATCTACTCATTTCAACACATTCCAATATTTTCTTAATGATTTCCTCCTGTGTGGTATTTTCTCATTTTTCCAGTTTTTAGCAAATACAATCCTAGCCGCTGTTAATACCTTTACAATCAGGTATTTCAATTCTTTACTATGTAAAATTCATGTAAAATCATGTAAAATTCCCAATAAAAATATCTTTGGTTTCAAATCTATATGCTTTTTTGTCATTTTTTCCAACCACGTGTGGATTTTAGTCCAATATTTTTTAGCATCCGCACAAGTCCACCACATATGGTAATATGAGCCAGGTGTCTGATGACATTTCCAACATTTTTCAGATTTGTTCTTGAACATTCTTGCTATTCTTGTCGGGGGAAAATGCCACCGGTAAAACATCTTACACAAATTTTCTTTATATGCTGTCGACATTGTCATTTTATAATTTTGAGACCACAATTTTTGCCATTTCTCTTTTTTTTTTAATATAGTTTATTAAATTTTTACAATTAAAACCAGTCACAATACATACACAAATAAGCAAAAGAAAGAAAGAAAAAAAAGAAAGAAGAGAGAAGAGGAAGAGAGGGAAAGAATTTTGAGAAAAGAAAGAAAGAAAGAGGTTACAGGATTAAAAGTATTCTTATTTTAACAGTTTGCAAGATCTTCTTTTGTTTTCATCACCTTAACTTGTGTCATATAACCACACCTGTTTTTAACTTATATCGTTACCTCGTTATTATGTATTGATACTTTTCTTTTATGCCTTCTAATATATTATTTATCTTTGGTCAATCCAATTATACCAACAATTCCAGCTATCATAGTATAGTGAAGTGTCTTTGTTTTTTAGCGCCAAAGTCAATTTATCCATTTCTGCGCATTTTGAGATTTTTTCAATAATCATTTCTTCTGATGGAATTTGATGTTGTTTCCAGTGTTGAGCGAAGGCTAATCTGGCCGCTGTTAAAATGTGTATTGTTATGTATTTGGTTTTTTTGGAAATTTGCTTATCAAAAATCCCTAGTAGGAAGGACTCTGGTTTGTATTCGATCTGCTCTTTGGTGATTTCTTCCAACCAAGTTTTGATTTTCTTCCAATACTTTTGGGTTTCTGCACAAGACCACCACATATGGAAAAAGGTTCCTTCTTTTTTCCTACACTTCCAGCAATGCGGACTCATGTTGGGGTGCATCTTCACTAACCTCGAAGGGGGGAGATGCCATCTATAAAACATTTTATAAAGATTTTCCTTGTATGCTGCCGATTTGGTAATCTTATTGTTTCTGCCCCAAACTTTCTCCCATTCCGCTAATGTGATGCTGCGCCCTACGTTCTTACTTCAAGCAATCATATTTCCTTTTACGATTTCTTCTTCTAGTTCTGTTTCTAATAAGTAGTTATAAAATTTTGTTATGTTTTTTTTATTTGATCCTAATAAAATTTTATCTAACTGTTGCAGTTTGTTATTAATTCCGAATTCTTTTTTGTCTTGTTTATATCTGCTTTGAATCTGAAGGTAAACCCATTGATCAATTTTATGTCCTTGCTCTTGAAGATCCAGCCTCGGTTTCAAATTTCCTTGTGGGTCTAATAAGTCTTTGTATTTAATCATTTTGGTAAGCTCCAAATTGTTTGGGTGAATCATTGCCTCCATTGTTGAAATCCATACTGGTACTTTTGTATAATGTTTTTTCCTTATTTTCCTCCAAATTGTTAATAGTGCGTCTCTAATTAAATGTCTATACACATTTTCTTTATATGCTGTTGACATTGTCATTTTATAATTTTGAGACCACAATTTTTGCCATTTCTCTAGATCAATCCCATATCCAAAATTCTTCCCCCAAGCAATCATTGTTTCTTTAACTTGTTCTTCTTCTAGTTTAATTTCTAATAAATATCCATACAATTTTTTAATCACCAGTACCTGTCAAAATCTTATCTAAATCAGTCAGTTTATCATAGAAACCTTCTGTTTTAGAGTCTTTATCATACCTTGAATGTATTTGCGCATATGAAAACCAATTCATCTTTATACTTCATTCCTCTAATTTTTGTATAGATTTAAGTTCACCCTTTTCATTCAATATTTCACCATATCTAACTGTTTGTTCCTTTTTATATATTATAGGATAAGAAAATGCTTCAATAGTCGATAGCCAGACTGGAATTTTCAAATAACATTGTCTTTTAGTCTTCTCCCAGTTTAACCACAGAGACTCCCGTATATAATGTCTTCTAAAATACCCCTGTGATTTAGTTCCTTTATACTATAGAAAAGCATGCCACCCCAACAACAGATCATGTCCTAATGTCAACAATCTAGTATTTCTTAAAGTTATCCATTCCTTAACCCACATCAAATTTGTAGCTTGGTAATACATCTCCCAATTAGGCAAACCAAATCCTCTTCTTATTCTGGCATCTTGCAAAAGTTTTAACTTTATTGTCGCTTTCTTACCTTGCCATATATATTTCAACACAATTTTATTTGAATCTTCAAAGTAATCTTTTCCAAGCCTAATTGGAATTGTTTGGAACAAATATAAAATTCTGGGTAATATATTCATCTTGATTGTTGATATTCTCCCTATTAATGACAGTTGTAAATTTTCCCATTTCGCCAAATCTAGCGCTATCTGCTGCTTAAGTTTAATATAATTATTCTCTTTTAGTGTACTGCATCTTGCTGTCAAATGTATCCCCAAGTACTTGATCTTATTCGTGACCTGAATTTTCAACAGATCTGCCAGTTCTTCCTTTTGTCTTGATAGCATATTCTTTGTCAAGATCTTTGTCTTATCTTTATTTTCAAACTAGCCACCTTTCCATATGCCTCTATCTTTTCTATCAATTTTGATGCTGTTTCTAGTGGGTCTTCTAAAATGAAAACCAGATCATCTGCGAATGCTTGCAACTTAAATTCTTCCTTTTTAATTTTCATCCTTTTTATATCCTTTTCTTCTCTAATATTTCTGTTTAGCACTTCCAAGGTTAACAGAAACAACAGAGGTGATAGTGGGCACCCTTGTCTTGTTCCTTTTCTTATATCAATAGAGTCTGTCAGTT